TAGGGAAAGGGTAAAGTGTGAATGAACAGATGGTAATGGTCAGAGGGTACGATGCACAAGAGCGTTCGGCGAGTAAATGGGAACATATCTGCATTCCAAAACATTGTAAAGCGATTTGTGTTACCTTGGTCTGTAAAATGTACTGTGTAAGTAATGATTACTTACATCCTAGTTATCTTACTAAAGGGTATTAACTAACAGGTCAAAGATAGTATTAATGAGAGAAATAGTATATCATTGAATAACCAAAAATGGGCATACAGGAAAGAATCATGGTTAAGTATGAGCACGACCAGAATAAGAAGGGGGAATATTATTTTTGCAGACCATACCCAATACACCTAAAACCACAGATATGTATTGCTGTTTTAGGTTGGTCAGTGTTGTGTAGTTAAGCACAGAAAATTACAAGATAAAATGTTTAAACTAAAGTAAAAAAAGGAATGTTGATGGAAAGATTTAGTGTCACCCCATTGGCACGCATTTATTTTATTTTATTAGTTAATTTGACAGGGACATTGTGCATTGATACACATTTCTGTAAATGCACCACAATTAGCCAAGCAGGGTATTTTTCATCTGCAGTCCCTGGGCAGGTGTACATAATCTCCCTAAAGAATTTGAGTTCCATGAATACCTTGAATGTCTACTTGAGTTCATCTGATCATTAAAACATGTCTAGACCACTTAAAAATGTGCCAAATCTATTATGGCTGAAATGCTTTTCAATTAGTCTGGCAATTATCCTTTCAATTAATTGATCAGTTATTTAGATTGTGAAAAGCCAATGAAATTAAAGTTAGTCCATATGTGATACAGACAGTAATGCCTCTTGAAGACACAAGGATCACATACTAATCTGTAGCACTTTCAGGTTTCCTGGAAATGTAAGGTGCAATATAAATAAAATGTGTAATCATTATTATTATTACTAACAGATAAATCCGTATCAAGTATATAACAATTAACACATTTTGTAATTAAAGCAATAACCTCTTGCTTTACATGCACATGATAACCAGTGCGAAACACATGTAGACATGGTGAAATATTAAGATGGGAGAGATTAAGGCGGAGTTTTGGTGAGTGTGCTTATGTGTTCCTAAAGCTGAGGTACCACACTTTTTTGTTTTATAAATAATACAATCAGTTTGTCCCAACAGGAAGAGTAAAATTGTAGCCGTGAACAACCAGGCCATGTTGTCTTCATCAATTACAGAATGTAATCTTTTGCATACTTGTAAGAAAGAGAAACTTTACGCAGAGATCTGAGTGGGGGAGGTTCTCTCTTTTTTACTTTTCTGTCTGAATTACCTGATGTAAAGGTGTGACAAAGGCCAAAAATACATGCATGTGAAAACTAGTGCTGAACCTAAAACTGTCACGAGAGCAAGGACCTACAGTATTTCCATTTTGAAAGTTAGGTACCCGAGCTTTAAGCAGTGCATATACAGTACTGTCTGAAGCACAACCCACACATTTGATCACAAAAGCAATGGGAACACATCTCAACACACCTGAACACACCCAAATCACTTATTTCAAAATGTGGTTGTTTTTTCCAAAAATGCATGCCTCAATAATCTCCCATTACATTCTGTTATCTTGCAATGTTCTTCCACAAAAGTACAGCACTTTGACTGATGATCCCAGGTGTGTTTTCCTGCCACTCAAAAAAAAAAAAAAAACCACCAGAAATTGATAAATAACCTCAATGAAACCTTCCCCAAATAATAGCCATGTGTTAGCGGGTGTCATATCACGCCTGTCGACTTCCTATTCACAGCGTTATTGTCAATTACTGAGAAAATTGCATCCCCGCGGTCAAGACAAACCAAACACGGTGAATTTTTGTTTTTTTTGAGTAGAATTTTGTTTGCTCCAGCAGAAGGTAGTGGTGCGGTTTCCATTTGCATCTGTAAACTACATTTGGTGCTTAATTCAAGTGGAAACAAAAGAAAAGCCTTGAGGCAGACATTAAGTGAGCAGAGAGATAACATGTTTTAGCTTTATGGTTTAATGACACAGACACATAGATGCAAGAAGAAAGAGAATTAAATTATTGAGCCACTTATGTGCGAGAACATATTTTGTTTTATTACTCATTAATATGATAAAATGTGTTGCAAGACCTCAGATTGTTTTTTTTGTTAGGAAGGAGTAAGGTAATCGAAAGCAAGTCTAGATAAAGGTTTGCACTAATTTGGAATTGGAAGGGGTTAAATCATTAACAGAGTTCATTAAAAGAACAAATATTTTAGTAAAATGTGTGAAGGCTTTTTGGTAATTGGACTGTGATATCACTCTTGTTGTCTGCCCAGTTTGTCCTTATTGCTGTATTGAATAAACACAACTCGAGCATCCTCTTACTACTGTGCACTCGGAGACCGCATACCCCCGCCATCATCCCTGATCATCTTGATATTGTATTGTGTCTTCCTGCCTTCCCATCCCATTTAAACACCAATGCAGTTGAATTCACCCAGTATTTTTTCCTCAATCTTGCCTACACACACACACACACACACACACACACACACACACACACACACACACACACACACACACACACACACACACACACACACACACACACACAGAGACACTGAGGCGATTGCAAAACCCCCTCTTGTGAGCTATAGGCAAGGGTTAGGGTTAGATTGTACACAACTTCAATATTTGTGTTTTTTATATATACCTTACCATGACAATATATTGAAAATCTGTTGTAGGGATTGGCTCTACACCTACAGGAGCATTAAGCTGTAAAATGTATTACTTGTAAAACATTGGAACATTCAATAGGTGTTTTCGCAAGCTGCTTTGAATGGATTATCTGGGCCGCCCCTATAGTTACCACAGCTTTAACATAACTTGGATTTATTGTCTCGGGAGTGTGTCTGCACTGTAGAGCCCCTGCATTCATCCAGCTCCTTCATCATGTCTTCCTGTGCGACCCGACTGCCCTGTACCCGTCTGTGAGCAGGGGGGTGCGGAGGAGGACTGCCCTGTACCCCTTTTTGAGCAGGGAGGTGTGGAGAAGGAGGCCCCCCACGTCGAGGTCATTAACGGTTTAGAAGAAATGTAACTGCGCTGCTCCTTCTGTCTGAGCAGCTGCTGCGGCTACAACCTGGGCGTATTTACATCTGCACCATTGTTTCAGATGGAGAGAGGGGCGGGAAGGCAAGATTTTAATGGTCCAAAAGACAAACTACTGTTACTGTTGTATTCTGCTTGGTTCTATAGAAAATAATCAGTTAATTATGCAGTGTGTAGGAAGACAGGTAGGAAAATGTCTCTATAACTCTGAAGATTCTATAGATGAATACCGTTGGGGTGTCCTTAGGCAAGACACTTACTCCATATTCATGAACCCCTATCTGTCTCCACCTGTTGTGTAAATATGCGTGTGAATGGGTGATTTGTTACTTGATGTAGTGTGAATGTATTCAAAGAATTGTGCATTAACTTACCACATATTATTCGACATGTATAAATCATATTTGGCCTTTTGTATATTATATAACTGTATTTAGTGTTGCCGGTTCCAGCTGGTTTGGTCTGTACCTGTTGTTCTTTATGTGACCAGCAGATCAGTCACATCCTCGTAAACAAGAAAGTGCTTAAACTATAGGTATTTGCTTTCTATGTTTATATCTATTTATATGTTGCTACGATGTAATTATTATACATCGTGCTACATAGAGTTATGGTTTGTCTAATTCCCTACAGATTGTGAAGGATATTATGGACATTGTGGGAAAGAAAAAGTATAATGTATATACAGTGCCTTGCGAAAGTATTTTGAACCTTTCAACATTTCAGGCTTCAAACATAAAGATATAAAAATTGAATTTTTTGTCAAGAATCAACAACAAGTGGGACACAATCATGAAGTGGAACGAAATTTATTGGATAATTTAAACTTTTTTAACAAATAAAAAACTGAAAAGTGGGGCGTGCAATATTGTGCAGGCTTGTGGCAAACTTTAAACGAGACTTTTTATGGTTTTCTTTGAGAAATGGCTTTCTTCTTGCCACTCTTCCATAAAGGCCAGATTTGTGCAGTGCACGACTGATTGTTGTCCTATGGACAGACTCTCCCACCTCAGCTGTAGTTATCTGCAGTTCATCCAGAGTGATCATGGGCCTCTAGACTGCATCTCTGATCAGTCTTCTCCTTGTTTTAGATGAAAGTTTGGAGGGACGGCCGGGTCTTGGTAGATTTGCAGTGGTCTGATACGCATTCCATTTCAATATAATTGCTTGCACAGTGCTCCTTGAGATGTTTAAAGCTTGGGAAATCTTTTTGTATCCAAATCCGGCTTTAAACTTCTCCACAACAGTATCTCGGACCTGCCTGGTGTGTTCCTTTGTCTTCATGGTTCTCTCTGCGCTTTAAACAGAACCCTGAGACTATCAAAGAGCAGGTGCATTTATACGGAGACTTGATTACACACAGGTGCATTCTATTTATCATCATCAGTCATTTAGGACAACATTGGATCATTCAAAGATCCTCACTGAACTTCTGGACTGAGTTTGCTGCACTGAAAGTAAAGGGGCCGAATAATATTGCACGCCCCACTTTTCAGTTTTTTATTTGTTAAAAAAGTTTAAATTATCCAATAAATTTCGTTCCACTTCACGATTGTTGTTGTTGATGATTCATGACAAAAAATTTAATTTTTATATCTTTATGTTTGAAGCCTGAAATGTGGCGAAATGTTGAAAGGTTCCAGGGGGCCGAATACTTTCGCAAATGCACTGTAGTAACTTCTCTTTGTGCTTAATGCCTGTATTGTGCTCCTTTTAAAAGTCTTGTATGAAATCATATGCATATTTATATACCTTTTTATTTATTGCAGATCCCCATTAGTCACTGCCACAGCATTTCGCAGCAGGGCTCCAATAGAATAAAAGTATTTTATCTTTGTTTACCTCAAAAACTCTCTAAATCAAACTAAACCTCGATACTGTGATACTGTAGCTGTACTTACAAATACGGAAACAGGTCCAGGGGTAACTGCCACCAATCTCGTTCTCGTTTCTCCCTAAAAACAAACATGGCAACTTTCAGTAAAAAAAGCATCATAATTCAGGAGACATACAGTGCTTAGCGAAAGTATTTGGCCCCCTTAAACCTTTCAACATTTCGCCACATTTCAGGCTTCAAACATAAAGATATAAAATTTTAATTTTTTGTCATGAATCAACAACAAGTGGGACACAATCGTGGAGTGGAACGAAATTTATTGGATAATTTAAACTTTTAAAAAAAATAAAAAACTGAAAAGTGGGGCGTGCAATATTATTCGGCCCCTTTACTTTCAGTGCAGCAAACTCAGTCCAGAAGTTCAGTGAGGATCTTTGAATGATCCAATGTTGTCCTAAATGACTGATGATGATAAATAGAATGCACCCGTGTGTGATCAAGATTCCGTATAAATGCACCTGCTCTTTGATAGTCTCAGGGTTCTGTTTAAAGCGCAGAGAGAACCATGAAGACAAAGGAACACACCAGGCAGGTCCGAGATACTGTTGTGGAGAAGTTTAAAGCCGGATTTGGATACAAAAAGATTACCCAAGCTCTAAACATCTCAAGGAGCACTGTGCAAGCAATTATATTGAAATGGAAGGAGTATCAGACCACTGCAAATCTACCAAGACCCGGCCTTCCCTCCAAACTTTAATCTCAAACAAGGAGAAGACTGATCAGAGATGCAGCCAAGAGGCCCATGATCACTCTGGATGAACTGCAGATAACTACAGCTGAGGTGGGAGAGTCTGTCCATAGGACAACAATCAGTCGTGCACTGCACAAATCTGGCCTTTATGGAAGAGTGGCCATTTCTCAAAGATATCCAATAAAAGTCTCTTAAAGTTTGCCACAAGCCACCTGGGAGACACACCAAACATGTGGAAGAAGGTGCTCTGGTCAGATGAAACCAAAATCAAACTTTTTGGCCACAATGCAAAACGATATGTTTGGCGTAAAAGCAACACAGCTCATCACCCTGAACACACCATCCCCACCTCAGCTGTAGCTATCTGCAGTTCATCCAGAGTGATCATGGGCCTCTTGACTGCATCTCTGATCAGTCTTCTCCTTGTTTGAGATGAAAGTTTGGAGGGACGGCCGGGTCTTGGTAGATTTGCAGTGGTCTGATACTCCTTCCATTTCAATATAATTGCTTGCACAGTGCTCCTTGAGATGTTTAAAGCTTGGGAAATCTTTTTGTATCCAAATCCGGCTTTAAACTTCTCCACAACAGTATCTCGGACCTGCCTGTTGTGTTCCTTTGTCTTCATGGTTCTCTCTGCGCTTTAAACAGAACCCTGAGACTATCAAAGAGCAGGTGCATTCATACGGAGACTTGATCACACACGGGTGCATTCTATTTATCATCATCAGTCATTTAGGACAACATTGGATCATTCAAAGATCCTCACTGAACTTCTGGACTGAGTTTGCTGCACTGAAAGTAAAGGGGCCGAATAATATTGCACGCCCCACTTTTCAGTTTTTTATTTGTTAAAAAAGTTTAAATTATCCAACAAATTTCATTCCACTTCACGATTGTGTCCATACTTGTTGTTGATTCATGACAAAAAATTAAAATTTTATATCTTTATGTTTGAAGCCTGAAATGTGGCGAAATGTTGAAAGGTTCAAGGGGGCCGAATACTTTCGCAAGGCACTGTAATTGGTATAACAGTATCTTACTGCCACTACCTTAAAACTCATTCTTATATATGAAGGTGAAAACATCCCACTGAGACACGCTGTGGTCCTAAATGCATAAATTAGGACCACTCTCCAATGGGACACTCATACAGTGTGTGGTAAAGGTGCCCTTCAGCTGCATCATTGAATCTGAGCAGAGACACACCACAACTAACGGCCCTTAAGGACATGGACAGGAGAGATCAAATACAAAAGTGGGGGGAAAAGGTGCACTTTCGGAATAACAATAATGTTTGGTACGAGATAATATGTGAAAAGTTATGCAGGATTCTTTACAAAACAGAGAAAATAGAATCTTTCAAATTAGAAAAGAAAGATCAAGGTTAAGGTTAATTTAGATTCCGTAAAGAGAGCCGTATTTAAAATCTAAAAGTATGAATTTTAAGACGGTTTGTTAGTGGTGGATTTAACAGTCATCTCTTGCTGCATTGAGACACATACACTGTTATCACCTGTCGAAAGGAGCAAGCAGTTTCAATGCTGCATGGTTTTAGTATTCATCCGTGTCTGGGTATCAACCTCAATATAAATTCAGAAAAACAAATTGAAACAAGTGCAAAAAAAATCAAATATTTGGGGGTTTCAACGCAGCCGACGTCGCACAGAACCAACAGATTTTGCACCTGTTCTGGGGCTCATTAAAAACTGGTTCTCTCCTCACATCGTGTCCTTTACCTGGCGGCGACCGGTCACACGTCGTCTTTGGGCACGTTTTTGTCAGAACAGAACAAAGACAGAGGTTCATCGTGCGTTAAAGTTGTGATGTAACCAAAACGATGGCGGTGCCGCAGTCAATTTAGGAGGCGCTATCCTCAGACGACCTCAGCCCTCCCCAACCTGCTCGCTCCCCCTCCCGGCTCATCTCGCTCCCCAACGCATTCATCCATTCCACACCAGCCTTTTCTTTCTCATTTTCATCAATTGCGCTAAATAATCTCATTCTATACGTCCTCGTAGAATTGCAGAATTTACTCTCTGCAGCCGCCTCATCCGCTCGATGCACTACTCCCCCGGTGCTGGCTCATAACCTACAGACTTTGTGAGAAAAAAAGCATCCCTCTAAACTCACCTTAATAGGACTTTAGCGGTGTCAAATGCATTAGCACATTGCAAACAGTCCGCCCGCGCACTAAAGCTGCTCATTGGATAACCCTACTGCTTTTAATAACACTATATCCCCAGACGTATTTAGCTCTACTATACGTTTATGGCCCACCACACATCAGCACTGCATCGCACACACCCTCCTCCATAATCTCCAGCCTGGCCTGCGTTTATAGCTTCAATACGGCTCTACAAAATGAATAATTTAGGGGAGAAGGTTTGTAACTATTATTCTTCTTGTGTAGAAAGCAGAAACACACACTCGGAGTTTTGCTTTTGTTACTATTTTATGACATGCGCTCGACTGAACTGGCGTATGAATGACTATGGCTTTTTGCATGCACCAAATGTGAGGTAAGGCAAGGCAAGTTTAATGTATCGCACAGTTCATACAAAGGCCACTCAAAGTGCTTAACAAAACAGGAAAACAAACAATAGCCCTCTCCGATACTACGCATCGGCTCTGGCTAATTAAAATCCAACAAGGCATTAAAATAAATAAAGTCCTTATTGATGGTACATTTAAAAGGGTGAAGATATAATCCTTCAGTTGTAAGCACAGTTAAACACAACTGCTTTTTAACCTGGAGTAGAAGCCTGTCTCACATTTTCAGGAAGACCTCATAAATCTGAACTTTATCCTTGCATTGGGCAAGCACAACGACTAATGGGATTCCCCGTAGATATTCTAAGGGATACATGTATAATAGAGAATGAATACAAAACAATATTCAACTCACAATGAAGTAAGTAAGTAAGTAAGCTTTTATTTATATACCGCCTTTTCACTGCACATCGGAGTCTCAAAGCGGTTTACAATTGTTGGGTGGGGGTCGCCAGTACAGGAGGCACATGCCAGACCTATTGTACATATTTTTAGTGGTAGGGGAAACCGGAGCACCCGGAGGAAACCTACGCAGACACGGGGAGAACATGCAAACTCCACTCAGAAAGGCCCTGGTCCGACCGGGATTCGAACCCAGGACCTTCTTGCTGAGAGGCGAGAGTGCTATCCACTCAGCCACCGTGCCGCCCAGTGAAGAAAGTTAAGTGTTGTAATGCACAGTTTAGAACTGCAGGAGAAAAGGTAAAACGTTTAATTTCTGGAACTTGCTATGATAATTCTTCACTGAAATTAAATTAAATTATAACAAGTTAAAAGACTGTTAAAATATTACAACCCTGCTGTTAGTAGGTAAACATTTTTGGGGTGTTTGTTGAAAAATACCAGGAGAGTTTTGCCTTTGGGTATTTGCACATAATTAAATCTGTCTCTGAACGCCTGAACACCGATATGGCACCACTAAACAGTTTCCACTCTCATCTTCAGAGAATAAACACAATTAAAATACAATCTGAGACGCACATCTGGTCATTGTGCGAGCGCGAGTGGCACGAGTCTGGCAGGTGGCGACACACGCAGCGATTGTGATCCATTTGTGTAGTTCCACAGAGCACACATGTGGAATCAGAACGAGCTTGAATCTGGTCTTTACTGATGTCTGTACAGTGTGTAATGAGGAGTACAGTGTGTATTTTTTGGCTCTAAAGTGGTCCACAAATCAAGGCAAGGCACGTATATTTGTATAGTACTAGGAATATATTCTTTACAAAACAAGAAGATACCTACTTATTTAATTACAGTTGTTAACCTTTTTGTCTCCAGTTGTTTTTCCATTAGTTCAAACAACTATTTAATGTAAAATACCTTTTTTCGTTTTTACTTTTCAACAGTTCGCACATTTTCTGACTATTGGTACACCCTGAGTGATCTTATTGAGGAAAAATGTAACATAAATTTCTCCATTGTGAGATCAGTAAAGTCCTTATCTTTTCTCATTATTGAGGTTTGTCAGCAAAAGATGGTTGAATTCTGGTGATTAACAAATATGAATGTACTACTGTAAAATAAAATGTTTTAGGGGCAAATAAACGGTTTTGTTTCTTTCTGCACGTCAACATCATTAGAATCAGAATCAGAATCAGAATCATTTTTATTGCCACGTGAGTAACAAAGTTACCACTTGGAAATTGTCTTGGCAACATTAACACATGTTGAATCGTGTGCGCAGGTTTAATACTGGTTTATTGCTGATTTATGTGTTGAACCACTATAGAAACTTAGTTCATGATTTTTCTTTATTGTGCTATACAAGAAAAGCTTGCTTTTCTTGCCAAGAGTCCAATTTGGAATGATGTTTTTCACTGCACAAGTTCAAACACTAGAAGGAAGAGTTAATAAACCAAGATCAAAGGTTATGATACATTGCAGTAGTCCAGTATTGGTTAACTAATCGTTGCTCCCCAAGAGATTACACATATCAGTGACACTGCCGCACCTTTCTTTGTTCGTATCTCACTGCAAAAACCGTGATTTTTATTTTTTCCTCCTCGCCCACACAAAATAGGAACTCTTGAATCAATGAAAATGCGTGTTGCCATCGGTGCAGGTTTGGTGAGCGCCGTATACATGTGTGGCTCCCTCTCTCTCTGACTGATGGCGGGTGGGGTAATCGGCCGCGGTTGCCATGACACCAGACAGCCCTCGCTCGTCGGAGGCACGTAGCTTCCTCTCTGCTCTATTTCCCCTGGGCCCTCCACTCAGGAGTGTGTCTGTCTGTGCGCATCTGTGTGTCTGCAGCATGGAGAGCAGTCATATACGATGCACACGCCCGGGCTAAATGAGAAAAACAGACGAGGGGGATGAGAGGATATTAGGGCCTTTTGCGGCAAGAGGAACGCAATGCAAACAGTAGTACCATCGCAAGGCAAATAAAACAGATGTGAATACATCGGCCAAATACGCCTGCAGGAGGATCGGGGCAGGGCTGTGAGTGTGTAGCATTGCATAAAGGCAAAGCTCCTCTTCATGTGAAAATCATATGGTTTTACCTACGGACGCTGTAAATAATGCATAAAACTAAACTAACGATTGTGTCAATAGTCGACAGGCGAGTGAATATTTTTCAAATAATGGACAGTTTCTTTCTATTACAGTATGTGACAATGGTTTTTAAATTCAATGTATCAATATAAATCTAGATCTAAAGCCAGCATAGTAAGTTTACGATTAGGATTTTTTTAAATTTAGTTTTATTCGTCGCCTGGTAGATAAACTGTTTGTTACAGACGTTGTCTGACAATTTATATGAAATTATTTTCTAAATCCATAAAACCACCATCTGATTTTAAACAAATGGCTTCATTAATTTCTTCAATCCATTATTTCAATAATGGACCATTTCAATTCGGAAACCAATTTTATTTTTGAGTAGTAATGCGCATGATATATACATTTATATATAGATCGAATGCATACTGATTATCAAACTGCAACAGCCTTAGAAAACATACCCTTAGCCACTGTCATCAATCACATTTTTGACTTTATATTATCAATTTGCGTCCCCGGCTGCACTGCGCATCGCCGATCTGCTTGCCCGCAGTTAGCAGCGAGTTTCATCAGTAATATTTATTTCTTGTTTCCTGACCTATAGTGCAATTACTTTTCTTAGTCTCCGAAGGCAATCACCATGTTTTGAGGCACTCTCATCACATCTCTCGCAATCCTAATAAAAGTCCACGCCAGCTCCTATCCATCTCCCTATCTCCAGACTCGAGTCTAGATGAATAATTTAGCAGGCTATATTTCCAGCCATCTGCTTCCCCTAGTCTCTCTCTCTGCCTCTCTATCCCTCCATCGTTCATCTTTCTACTCTAAATTCTTGGATTGAACTCTTTATCTTAGCCTTGACTGGGTATTGGGTTGCACATACCAACCAGACGACAACAAATGCATCTTCTTTTAAGATATTTTTTTTTTCTCTTTTTGACATCGCATCTGACTTTTGGACCCTCGTTTGGGCGTAACAGCAGGAGGCAGTGCCGATTTCCTAATGAAGCGAGAAGCCATTTGAATACATATGCACGCTGGAATCATTAGCCGTGATTAACATGGCTCCACATGTGCAACAGTGCCTAATGTAGCCCAGCAGAGGTCAGCCAAGTCTCTCGCTCCTGTCGGCAGACCACCAGCATCTCCCCCATTATCTGTGCGCAACCATTAGGCCCCCACAGAAGATACAACCACAGGGCCAGCGTCCAAGTGGAAATGAACGCATAATTACATATAGCCACAGCCAGATTCACAGAGCGTTATTCTAATGAAGGCACAGATGGTGGCGCTGGAGAGCGAGCGGAGGGAGCAGTTAGATCAACACTGAGGCTCTGACAAAAATTAAGTCATTTTCAAAAATTATGATTGGAAAGTGTTACTCATGCAAGATGTTGAGACCGGCAATTCTTGACTACTTTACAGATGCATACATTTTGAAGATGCGGTTTAAATTAATGTTGAAAGTGTAATCAAAGAAAGAGAAATTAGTCTGATTAGTTGTATATAGACATCATGCATCGTTAATCAATTGTGAGATATTAGGAGTGTAGGCGGTTTACTGTTTGTTATAACTTTAACTGATTTGGGAAGATGTTTCTCACAGCACAAGTCCTAATACTTTAAGGAAGCACTGGAGTTGCTAAGAAACCAAACTGAGCAGCAGCACAGAGAAAAATGATATAAAGAAAAAAAGTGAAATGAGTTAAATGTAAAATTTTCCAAACCAGGAAACCATCCCTTGAACTTTAACACAAGCTTCCTCCACAGTATTTGCAGTGATGCTAGATGTCAGACAAACATATTGCGTTGGGCTATAGTTCAAAATGTAGTCTGTGTTATGTTTAATTGGTAGAAATGTGTTTCTTCCCCAAGAAATAGCGAAAGTCACAGATCAGTTTCGAGACTGGAGATTAGAAAAAATAAGTTACAAGGTTCTTGCCATTGCATCATAAATTATGCATACAATGTGTTTTGTAAATGTAAATGAACCTATCTGGCATAATCTGTGCTGCTGCCACTTCGCCAAGACTCTAAACGAGAGTTTTGGTCTCAGTCAGTTCCTTGTTTGAATAATGCATTGAGTGAAAGTACAGTATGTATGGCTATAGCTTTCAGACCGACCTAATCAAGATTCTCCATCAAAGATGCTATTTACAAAGCCGCTTAACACTTTATTTGGAGGCTATAAATAGCAAGGAGCTGTCTGTGATCTATGTTTGATGTGTGTTTGTTTATGTGCTGATAGCCTGACTTATTGCTGACCCTGACTCAGTTTAGCTCAAACTTGCTGACATACACACAGACTTTAAAGCTGGCCGTTTTGATTTGTGGATGGCATGGCCTCTGCCTCTTCATATAGCTCCACTGCATCTACTATTACAAGCATCCAAACAGCCACAGGCGCAATTAGCGTGACCTGCCATGGCCGACTGTATGTATTTATAATCATGCTTCTCTTTATCCAGCTGCAACTACCCGGGAAACCTAAAAACACCATGGCAGTTTGGAGCTGGGGTGTGAGTGCGTGTGCGTGTGCGTGTGGATGGGTGTGTGTGTGTGTGTGTGTGTGTGTGTGCGCGCGCGCGCGTGCATGTCTGTGTGTGTGTATATAGGGGTCAGGCCAGAGGAGAGCCACCCTTTGGTCCTTAGACACCTCTCCCCTGCAGAATGCCTCCAGCTCTGAGTGTACTGTTTCTAGGAAGTGGTGGAAGAGTGTTTGAGGTGCAGGAAATGGAGAAGGGGTGTTAAGCAGGGCAAGATGGGGTGTGGTATGCAGAAGGTGGTTGAGGAAATACATAGCTTATCTGCTAAATACTTAATATAAGAAAAAATGTACATGGCGAGAGACAGGGAGAGTTTCTCATCTCACAAGCATTTGCCAGATTAAATTTCCACCAAGTGAAGAATGAGTCTGTTTTTTATTCATGCATTACATATAAATAGACCAAATAGGTCACTGCTGATGAATTTCACCTCTGGAGAAATTGTAGATCCAAATAGCAGTGTAATGACAGAAAATGCAGTATATTGAAGAAAATGGCCATTTGTGTCAAAAGGATTGAGCCTCTTTCATACACACGACTCGCCCTTTAACCTGCCCTGGAGGTTGATTATTTTGCGGAACCAAAACTGTTTTAAAGCACGTTGTATATATGAGGGTCAGGTGTTGAAGGTTATTAAACTACACACAAGTCACACGGTAGACAATACTTTGTAAGTTTGAGCTTTTTCATCTTTTTTTCTGTACAGTTGTTATTGTTTGAAAATGGTGGTCAGGCTCCACGTGAATGTGATTTCTTGAGGCTGCAAAGCTGTGAATTTAGAGAACTTATTTTGAAAGTCAGTAGTTTGTTTTGACCATTTTATTTTGAAATGTTCCTCTCTTCCCTGTGGTGGAAAGCAATGTAGGTTCAAACAACACGCCTATCTTTCCCACAATTGTTGCATGCCAGCACAGCTGGACAGGACAAAAAACACAGATCTTATAGTTTGTCTTGTTCCAAAAGACCCAATCTTGTCTCATCGGTCTCACATTGAAATACTGTACATCATATTCATTATTTAAACCACAATAACAAATCTTTCTAATATACAGCTAAATCACTTGGAATAGATCTGCCAAACATCACGCCTCTTTCCATTATCCACATTTGTGACTAACACAAAGACGACAATGACACTTTATTCTATTCTTTGGGTCCTGCTGTGTTATGAAATTATTGTTGTCCCACACACAAAGAAGAAGATCATGAAAGAAACTGATTATTCATCTATTTTTATAGTATTGTCTAAAACTTAAGCGATTTCTACAAGATTTAAAAGTCAGTTGAAGTTTGACATGCTTTTTCTCTGCTACGGAAATGATCAATAGCCATACATTTTCTGTTTACACTATGTTACTACAACAAAAGGCTGGCGTACATATAGCAGCTGATTAAAGGTTGCTAATTGCCTATGTTTTTTCTTAAGTGCCAAAATGCCTAGGAGATGCTGCTGAATCACAGATGAAGGAGACAAAGTAAATATGAGAAAAAAAAAATCATTTTCAAGCATGCATAAATGACTAGGTGGAGTCAGGTGAGGACGCAGGATGGGGAGGAAAGAAACACGTTGTACATACCTTGTAGACCCTATATTAGACTGATCCAAGCTTCCAATAACCAAAGTTGAAACTTAAAATCAAAACTTGGAGGCTAAATGAGAAGTGAAAACTATTCTTACATGGTGAAAACTTCATACAAATCCATTATGCATAACATGGAATCGGTTTGATCTGGAGAATCCCAAGTGACATATTACATAGTGTAACTAACAACCTTTAGAATGGGCAAAAGTTGTGTAGAAATGAAATAATCTGGCGGGACTGGCCCAAGCAGTGGACAATAGTAGGTAAGTGTTGAGCAGAGGAGGAGGAGGAGTGGCCAGGCCCGGAGAGCTAGAAAAGTGGTGATGAAGGCGACGCAGGGGAAAGTGTGTGCGGAAGGGAGAGTGAAGGGGCTCGAGAGGGGGCCAGGAGGAATGAGGAGGGGAGGGAGGGAGCACAGCGCGGCCAGGCTGAACCGAGTGAACTGCAGCGGAGGTCAGGGAGTCCAACATTCCTCTGGAACACTGTGTTTACACTGCACCAGGAGGGGAGGGGGCGGGGGGCGCGAAGGGGGCGTGAGACAGACGACAGAGCAGGGGAGGAAATCATCAACCTCAGCCTGCTCTCCACACAGCGCATACAGCCGTACAGTGAGCCTCCAAAGCAGTGAGATACAGAACCACATTTGAATGTTATTTGGCCTGTCTATATTTTGCACTGCATTTCAAACTGGAGTACTTCTGTATCATTACTATGCTTTGTTTGATTTTTGAAAAAAGGGAAATGTTGAGAACACATAAGATGACATCATGCTGTCTTTATCTTATCTTATTTTTATATTTTGCATACTTGTGAGAAAAAAACCTTTAAGTCACTATTTGAATAACAAAATTGAAGATATAAACTAGAACAAGAATAATTTAAAAACTGTGTCTAAAAATGTCCTCATTCATGAATCCATTACATATACTATAATCTCTGTTCATTTATTTATCTCTGACTGACAGGGAATCATAACAACAAGCTCTTCATTTCAAGTTTTACAATGACATCATCCCCATTAAGCTAACGTGAAGGGATCGTCCTAACCACTGCCGCAATCATCCAACTTAAAGACGTTTTCTTTCTCCATCTACTGGTCACTATCAAAATTACAGGCCAATCAAAAATACAGCAGACAAGACACACCGCCCTCTATGCTCTTTGTGTCTCAGAACACAAATGATCCTTTGTCAACTTTTTTTTATAAAGCTTTACTTTAACCTTTGAAATATCATAAACTCTTGTTCCTTTTATACGTTAACAGTTCAATAAAGCTACTCTATTTGTATTCTACGCAGATACAATCTCTGGCCGTTCATTTTCAAGACAGCCTTCATACAAACATTACCGTTTGAATCGAATTTGCCTCTGCCTATTCAGCCTCTGTAAATATTTAGTGTTTGCTGTGCCATTGAGGAAATTATCACCGCTGGCATCAGTCAGGGTGACATTTCAGTGAATCAAAGCCGAGCAGGAGACAATTGGATGTCTGGGCTCTGGACTGAATAATCAATTTGTCCCAGACCTGCGCATAGCAACAGAAAGAAAGTTTGTCCGGAGAGAATTCTTAAATGGTTTGAGGCGTAGAAATGAAATACAGCACCTTTGGCCTCTTCATAATTCCCCCCTGAAGTTGCAGACAGTTTATTAAAGCCATCATGGACGAACATATCGAGTTCAGCTCCAATAATCCTCTCATCATTCACACGGAGAGCAACGGCTTCAGAAATGAGCATCGTCGCTCAAGCACATCTGCTGAGTCATGTTGTGAACTTTAGTTTGTCAAGAGCCGACGCGAGGTTGACGGGAATCGGGCCAAAAGTTTCACTGAAAACACAGTGTATTCATAAGAGGAAGTGCTGTTGGAATACTGCGCTGATAACAGAAGTACAGCTTGTAACGGTACATCAATCTGGGTATTTACAGTCAGGAGGCTTCATTACGGCCTTTACAAAGAGCCTAAAATCACAAATATTAGGCTCAAAATGCATATTGTATATTTTTTTACATTCATGGACACCTTGCCCCGTACAGACCAATGGCTCCTATGTGTTTGTTATTATTGCATTTCCTGTTTGTTTTATTAATGTTTTATTCTCAGATCTGTTGTTGAGGAATCGACTTTGTGAAGTCCTTCAAGACGACTGTTGTTGTAAGTTATGGCTATACAAAATAAATACATAACTATTAAATGGATAATTGAATTTAATTGAATTTATAATATTCAGTTATTTTAATTATTTGACCCACAAATTGATGGATGGATGAAAAACATTATAGTTATAATCAATGTGTTCACTGTTTTATTCATTCCATTAGATTAGAACAGATCCTTGCCTCAGCTTTAGCAGGTAAACAAGCACATATGCGGAAAAGAAGAATATTAATTTAATTGATTATCATATTTGAATTTTAATATGGTTCTGCTAAATTCATTCTACTCAAAATATGTTCTCTGGATTAGAACAATCTTCCTGCCACTCGAACACCCTGTCAGGAGTGGTGCTGGTCCAGATGCTCGGCTGGGTCAAGACCTGAGCTGGAGGATTTTACATCTTCGCATGTCTTGCATCAATACTTTTATTCATCCCACAGTATATTGAAGGGGAGGGAAACCAGAGTCCCAGAGCAAACTCCACACGCAAAAAACCCGATCCAGCTGGATCCAGTGAAATCATCCAGCAACATCCACATAGTCCATAAACAGCCCATTGGCATGCATGGAGGTTAATTACTCCCACCAATACTATTATTACTGACCATAATATTCATCTGACATAATAATAATTAACAGAGACTATAGAGAGCTCTGCATATTATAATAATGTATCAGGCCCAAACATTGGGTGAAACATTGGGAAACATACGGCAATGTAATATCATTTTAGGCCCTCATTTATTGATTTAAAGAGGGTAAGCTTTTAGTTTGATTCATTATTGTTATTACTAGAAACCTTTCCTCACCTGTGGATTTGGATGTATAATCGAGGAAATGTGTAAAGTGCAGCTGTTTTCTCTGAATTTTTGTCTCAGACTGTTAAAATATCAGGGGACGACATTGTCTCTTCCCAGCCGATTATGTCTAGAACTTATTCAAATATAACTTAACCTACAAAGTATTGCCCGGAGTTTCATCAGCCAAAAACAAAGAATCTCTCACTCCGGACAGACTTTGTTCACGCCTCAATGATAAATAGTGGAGAAATATCATTTATGGAAGTAGGGCAAAAATGCACTGATAGGAACCAGACAGTACAGACAGGAGCAGTAGAACCAGCATTAATACTACTATCTATACTGCAATGAGCCAAGTAACTATGAAGTGGTAAAAGTAGCAGTAATCATGGTTTCATGGCAACAAGTGTATTTGATGGTTATACATATTGACCGAAGAAAATAAACTAGTACTACTACTTATATGCTTGGTTGCAGTTGCTTTGTCTAGCTTTTCAACTTTGCTGAACTAGAAGAAAAGATTATGTCTTTGGCTTAGCAAAATTTGTGCTCCAGACTCGATACGACAATAAAAATACCAAAATCTGTTAACAAACTGCTAACATCTGGTACTGTTTTCCTCTCTATATTTGTAAGTGGACAACAGAGGGTGGCAGAGGGTGGCCCGTGTGAGGGGTCCCGGTCAAGGTAAAGAGCGAGAAGCAGGGCACAGACAATGGATGAGTGTGGCTTTGACAATGGCTTATCGACCCCAGACACCTCTCCAGCCCCCCTACTGCCCCCCCTTACTGCCCCGGGACCTCAACTCGGTGACAGGGCAGTGATCTTTTGTCCACAACAAAGGCGGGAAAGCAAAGGGCGACCGGCGGCTGACAGAGTGGAGGCAGATAGAGAGAAGCGGATAGTCAGGAAAGAAGCTGCACAATTAATCACAATGGAATCGAAATTACATTTGTTGTGGTCACAATTAGCAAATCACAAGACTGCATTGAATTAAATTATTTGAAAACAAAAAAGGGACTAAAGATAAGCATAAATACTTTGAATTTATGGGAACATTTCTAATGATTTCAGTGTATTTTGAAGATCAGTCAATATTTAATCTTGTAGTTGAGCAGAACCACTTTTTTTCTCATTCCAAAGATAACTTCTGATATTTTTCATAATTTCCAAATTCTGACGGTTTTTGTGAACAATTTTTTTCAAAATGGTTGTACTATTGGGTATATATATTTTCTAAAATGCTTAGAAAGTGTGTAATTTCTTCAAATGTAACTCTCTTGAAGTTGATATTATTACTCTGATCTAAATTAGACTTTACATCTGATCAAATAAACAAACAAGTTATCGAGAAATCGCATGACAATCGCAATGTTGGTCATAGATATTGCAATCAGATATTTTTCCAACTTCATGCATCTCCAAGTCAGACTATGGAATCAGAGCTTACCTTTTGGTCACATGCGTCCTTGTAAATGCCTCCATGTTCCTAAAGCCACGCTGTAAAACCTGTTTATTTATTGCCACTAATATGGTTTCATGTTTGTTCTTCTTCTAAGGCTAGCATCCAAGTTAGGTCCACTCTAGGGCTGCACAGTGAATAGCATCACGAGGCTGTGTCTGTACATAGTTATATCATCACAGATTCCTCTCTTGCAGCAGCTAAACCCACGACTTTAAACTTAAATTATTAAGTACCAAAAGCCAGTGTAGTGTTGTAATATTTCTCTAACACGAGCACACCATTCTTCATCACAAAGCAAAAACAGTTCATTAAACATGTGAACTTACACAGAGCTGCCACTTGGGACAAGATGACCAGGAAATATTGGACTAGTATTACATCTTGTTTTATTCAATGTTTTAAAGGTAATCAATGTATCCTATTTAGATTTTTGCAAATGAAGAAAGTGGATAATACTGAAAATGATGTGTAAATTGGTGAATTGAAGATATCAAGTGTGATAGGCATTTTTTTAAACTTGGTGGACAGTCACTGGCTACAGAAAACCTTACTTGACTTCAGCCAAGACACCAAGGGACAAGTAATGGCTCGTTTGCGATTGCAATGCTCCATTTACTATTATAATATTTGACAACCCTCAGAAAATCCAACACATCATATCATGTGTGTGTCTAGTCAATGAATACTTTCTAACCAAAACCTAGTCTTGATAATAAACTTATTTGATATGAGCCTTTATTTTATTCACTGATCTGACAAAAAACGTTGCAAACTTTGTCCTAAACTTTCTTAATAATCCTCAGACGTTCGCCATAAAACTCCCTCCGACTCACTCCTAATGTATACAGTATGTGTCACTTTATGATGGAAAACAACCTTTTTACTTTAAGAGCCTTAAATCAATCAAAGCTGCCAGCTGCAACATGGGATAGGAGAAAACCAAACCCAGGGAGGCCCGGTCCCCGCTCTCCCTCGTCTGCACAGGCCTCTCCAGCGGGGCCATAACTCATAAACGCTGTAGGTGCCACACTGCTCCACACTGCTGGTCTGAACGGGCGCATATAGAGTAAGTGTTCTCTAACGGCTCAGAGCAGGGAGGAAGCCGAGAGGAAGTGTGTGTGAAACATGCGGACAGACAGGAGAGGACGTTCTGCACTGAAGGCGGTAAAATAAATAGAGATGGCAGCAGCCGAGGAGAAAATGGAACAAGTGTGACACGCTGAACCCGGTGAACCTCGGCTGGAAAGGGCTGTTTCTAATATACGCGTAATATACATAATTCAGACTGAGAGAGAAGAGAGTCTGTGCCACCAGCCCATCCGAACACTCAGATAACAGAGACATACACTATAGGAGATGAAGTGTCTTGCCTAAGGACACAACAACAGTTTTCTTGGTGGAACCTTTATGCTCAGAGGTCTCCCATCCAAGTTCTAGCCAGGCTCTAACTTACCTAGTTTTTAAGTAAGTAATCTTTATTTATATACCGCCTTTCACAGACCAGAGTCACAAAGTTATTGTTATTGTTATTTTTGGGCATTTGTCTCTCACTCCACACAGAGATGGGAGCAGGGTCGCCGAACAGACCTATTGTACATATTTTTAGTGGTAGGGGAAACCGGAGTACCCGGAGGTAACCTACGCAGACACGGGGAGAACATGCAAACTCCACTCAGAAAGGCCCTGGTCCGACCAGGGTTCGAACCCAGGACCTTCTTGCTGAGAGGCGAGAGTGCTATCCACTCAGCCACCGTGCCGCCCAAGAGATCAGCCAAGATGTTTACGAGCCCAGGTAAGATTATGTACAGTATATACTCACACTAGTTTAATGAATGGCCAAGCTTTGCAATTATAGCTAGAAAAGCACTCGTAGAGAGCATACCTCTGCCTACAGGCACAGTTCCTTTGCATTAAAAAATCCCTGCATCCAAACGTTATTTGGAAACACTATTGCACACTATTCCTGAAAATGTCCAAATGTTGAGTTATTTGTTGCTCACCGATAAACCAAAGAAAAACGCCAGAGATGACTTTACCTCATGGGCGAAGGTACAGAAATTAGTAAAAAAAGTGTTTCAAATGGAACATCCTTAGTCTAGGCTACATCACCTTCTTGCTTATCTTCTTGAAATCACCATCCAAAATTCAATTAGATACAATACAATTTATTCTTGTATAGCCCTTAAATCACAAGAGTAGTCATTTCAGAGGACTTAACAAAACCATTGAAATCACCAACACAGATCAGAGAATCAACAGTTAGAACACATAAAGAATATTAAACACATGTTGATAAATGTCATACATGTTGTAGAATGTTAAAGTGTCCTGGATCATCATCACAATTCTTTTGTTAGACACTAAATGTCCAACAGACCCTCCTGCATCGGCAAGGAAAAACTCACAAAAACCCAGTGGGAAAAAAGTGAGAAACCTCAGAGATGTCTGTTCCAGCTGTTTTAGAGTCCAATAATATTGTGTTCGGAGGTAGGTAAACTTCTACTTATAATAATACCAGAATCCCTGTTTAAAACCATTCAAAACCCTCATATAGTCATAGAACACATTTATCCTATTTCATATTGTACATGATTGAATTTACATTTGGTTTAACCTCGGATCACTTTCAGGATCAACAGTCCCCCCAGGCCCAGTCACAACACTGTCTATTCAAATACAATCAGAGATCATCAGCATCCACCACCATGTCGTACAATGTAGCTGTCAACTTAAACAACGACCATAATTTGCCACTGAATTATAAGTAAACAAAACCGTTAAAAGAAACCGTCTCTTGCCATGTAATTAAAGCAGTAAATCTTCATCCAGTCAATGTAGTTTCATTTGAACGAGCCCATTTCAGCGACAGCACCGCCCACTTAACTGCCTATAGGATAATTTATATGTCTGTTCCAGCTGTTTTAGAGCCCAATTAAATAAATCTCAACCATAAATACCCACAATTGAATGGGAGGGTTGAACTTGCCGCGGTAAAAGTAAAAATCTAATTGTCCACTAAAAGTATTTCTTAGGAAGATGTTGGTGACTTTGTGGTTTCCTTTCAGTGTTTTGTCTTAGTAATTGGAAAGCCTAATTACCAAGACCAGATGACCACAATCTTCCAACTGTTTTTGTTCCTTTCTTCCAAGGTTTCTCTAGGTTAATGAATGCAACCACAAGGAAAACAAAATATACTTTGCAAAATCACCGATACTTAATCAGACTCTGACCATAACTTTTGCCAATAAAGTACCGTTCTTTCAGCTGCGGAAGTTAAAATGGTCAGTAGTCCCAACGAAGCACTGGTAATTAATTTAAGAAGAGTAAAAGACCAACATACTTAGCTGGAGGAAACTACTTAAAAGTGCACTGTAAAACTCTCGGGCGGAGGGTCTGAATTAAAGCTGAAGTGCTTAACTTAAACTCCAAACAACCCCCATTTTTCAGACAGAAAGGTGAAAAAGTTAGGACCACATTTACTTAGCCAATCAGCTCTCAATATGTATATTTTAATGTTAAATACTTCAATATACTTAAATAAGACTCTGTACGGAAAAACAAAATGGAAAAATAGAAAAAGTGAGGTATACTAACTTTGTGCAAACTAAATTAATGCATTACCTGTTGTGATGGACTCTACAAGAATGAACACAACCAATCAACCATGATATAAATCTAAATTCACACTACAGGGTTGTACTTAATTATTTTGGATATTTTGGATAATCAATATGATGGACAATTATTATTTTGATGTATCTAATTGTTTAGATCCTGAAAGCTCAGTGAGTATGGGATGTTCTTTATACATTTGACCAAAACAAAGTTCTTCCCCTTCATAGGGATGACTTCTAACAATTGGGTCCTTTGAGTTGAATACTTTTTAAACAAGTTTTCATTTAATTCTGTAGTAAATATATTGTATACTTCGTAAAGTTATTTGTTTTTATTGATGAAATATCAGCCCTAGAAGACCATCATGAAGATACCCATTTTTGTTTCTTAAGTTAATGCAGTAAAGTTTTGTCTAAGAAACTGAAAGAGATAATTAGACATGTTTGCACCGTGGCTATACTTCAAGTACAGCAACCAATAGTGGCAGCACTAGGAGAAGGTTGTCTATACTAAGAGTAACATCACTGCCCTTTCACAAACATTGATCTATCACATATAAGTGATCCTGAACGCTGTCTAAATTACTGCCTGTGGTTATACAAACACGCAGCTCTAAAAATATAGTAGCTTTGAAAGTGGCACTTGACCCTTTGCCCTGAGCATCGGCTGCTCTGATAAATCCACTCCAGACTACTGCTTACTCTAAATATAAAAGTTAACAAACCCATTTGTTCTTTATGGGTT